TTGCCTTGGTTCTTATTAACCCAGGGGCGTTTATTCCCATTGGTATTGGACTTTTCAGAGTTATTAGAGGAATTTGCAGAATTGCTTCCGGCATTTTCCTGTTTCTGAGGTTTTGGAGATTTCAAAACCTCAGAATAGGTCCTCTTTTTCTGTTGGGTTTCTAAACCTAACTGAATTTTAGTCTCTGACACCATTTTATCACCAGGTTTCTTAACCTTTGGCTGATTTTCGTCATGTGCATGGTGTATAGTGTACAACTTCATGCATTGACTGACTAGCCATTCTAATGGTAACTTACAATCGTAATCTCTTGCGAGATTCATTTGTATGTTTACCGGCATGGCATGAAAATACAGATCTTTGAAATCTGTGCTTTCATACCTGGGTTTTCTTTGGGCCACGGAGTATGCATTTTTAAGAATTACTAAAAATTCTCTGGGGCTTTGATCTGGACGGCACTTTAAGTTATAAAGCGCCCTCTTTGCAGAGGCAATGGTTTTATACTTACCATATTCCATGATTATTTCATATTTCATCTTGGACCAGGACATTAACTGTATAGCTTGAAGACTTTCTAGATAAACACGGCACATTGAATCAAAGGTCCATGTAATGAACCATTTCTTATGAATGTCATCATACATGCCCAATGAATTCATTGCTCTATCATAATTTTCCAGATGTTCAGATATGTTTCCTGAACCTCTAGAAAATTGTGGGACAGTCTCTCTAAGGAATTTGATGACCTTTGGTGTTTCATACACAGGCGTCGTTGATTTAGGACCTCTGTTTCTGTGTTTGGGTAAACGTCTATGCGATCTGTCTGCTGAAGAGGAATTAGACCCATACAACAGTGCAGATGGCATATCAGTTACATGGCCTTCAGAGTGGACAGTGCAATCACTTTCACTCCCATCACTCTGAGCTTCTTGTTCACTGTCACAATTCTGATCAGCATCAGAATCCTGCCAGTGTACAGAACCATGTCTGTTTTCATTCCTATCATCTTGAATTGGACTCTCCCTCTCAAGTTTGGCCAAGACAGCTTTTTCAAACTGTTCTGCCCAAGATTGCCAAGGTGGCTTGGTAATGTCATGAGATGGGGAATCTTTTTCCATAGGTGATTTTTTAGAATTACTCACACCTTTACTTACAGACTGTTTTATGAAAACCTGGTTTGGTGTGGGAAAATCATAATAAGGAGGGGATTTACAGATAGTCTTTTCTTGCATTTTTGTGCAACTTTTTGGCACAGAATGATGACTACCAACCTCACTGTCTAATTTCTGACTCTCCTTTTCATACTCATCCAATTGCATTTTAAGCTGATTTATTTCCTGTGCATATTTATCCGTCAAAGCTTTCATTTCTTTTTCATGATCAGCCTGACGAGTTTTATGCTCAGCAAGTAAATCTTGGTATTTCCCATTTTGAATGCCCAGATCGTCACTGTACGTGTCCAATTTGGCATTCAGTGACTTGTTTTCATCACACACCTTAAGAAGTGCTGTCATAAAGAAAGGCCAAGAGTGTATTATGTACGCCATTTTCCTTTCTATGTTCTTTTGTTCAGCAATTTCTTTAAGATATATGATGATGTGTTCATCAGTTAGAATGGTTTGTTTAGCTTCCCATTCTATGCTTTTCAACCAAACCTCATAGGTTGCATCATTTTTCATATGTTTATGAATATGAACTAGAGCATGTTTTCTTAGGTCTTCAATTATTTCAGTATTATCTGTTACAGATGTATCACTGCCACTGGCCATTTTTATTTTTATTTTATTGATTAATCTCAATACAAAACTCTTTTCTATATTAAGATTAAATTGCATGAATTACACCAATATTATTGTATATGAAATACAATTTCAACTTAAACGATCTCAGCACCGTGCCTCCAATAATTGGGGATATTTATGGGATAATAATAGTAACAGTGAGAATTGCCCACTAATTCAATTCTCAGATCCCAAAGAACGTTTATCGTGTTAAGTGAAATGTATACCATATAAATAATATTCACAGTTTATATAAAAATAGATTTTTATTTATGATAACCAATAATTAATAATAATATATGTAACATGCATGACAATAATCAATGAATATTCAGTATAAATTGGTATGCAATACAAAGGAATGGGTATTACGTTTCAATGGCTTAACGGCATTATCTGTCAAGAATTCTACGATTTATGACTATCTTTAACACAGGCTGAAAGTGAAACTTTTCACACAGAGAACAGAATTCCTCAGAGTGCAGCGTAAGGTCGTAAAGTTTAGCAGACAGTTAGAATAACCCTTTCAATGCTGGCTAGATCTCCTAGGTAGTTAAGATCTATTCTTATGTAATTTTTAAATAAAATAACATTTAAACCAGTTTAAATTCATTTTCTTAAACCATCCAATAAGAGAATCTAACATTATATAAGCAGATTTTAATTTGTCTAAAAGATATCTATCTTAATTTAGAGCAAATCAATACACCTGGATAAAAACAGCGGTATGCTAACACGTGATAATATCACATCAATATATAATTATTCTTAATTCCACCTGCAGAATGGAATATTTATAACTATATATTCTTAGTTAACTAAGATTTCTTAATATGGAAATCTGACCGTGCTTTATCCAGTCATATATAATGCTATTAATACATTTTATTAATTTAATTTAATTAAATGAAACCAGTATAATTACCAGTTGAGTAGATATTTCATCCGATTGGTAGTCTCAGGAATTTATTTGGATGTGTCTCTGCATGGAGGTTGGAGTCCCCAAACTTCCAATTCCTCTCTTTTCTCTCCTTTGCATATCTTGCATCTGCCTCCTTCGTCCTTCTCTATCTTCCCTTTGTCTTAACTTTTAAAGGGCCAGACTCTCTGTACGTCATCAGTTGATAACCCAATAGAAGCACTAGAGGTGTGGTTATCTTCCAGATCGCAAATTAGTTATTTGGTCTGTAGAGGGCAGTCTTGTCCCACTAAACATACCTATCCAGGAAAGAGTTAACTTTTCCTGGTGGCTATTTTGACGTCATTTTGGCCTATCTAGATAGTGGCTATAACTTACATATCCTTCAAAGATCAAAGGGTTTCTTACATTTTGTCCAGACTATGTGTCTGCAAATCTGCTATAATTTCTGATATGACAGATCATGAACTAAGTTTACCCTTTTCCATACAATGGTACCTTATATATATATATATAGACAGTTAAATATTAAATTTAATCTTCTCTGTCACAATTGTCTGGGTTTAGATTTGATTATATTCCATTAGCATTAGACAGTCTGTCCAACCCCCTTCCTTATCACTTGTTTATACTATGCATTCCTCAGCTCTGGGAAAGTGGTTAGCTTACAGATAGAAATATAGTGTCTCTTTGTTAACTTGGAATAACAAAATGGAGTCTGATCTGTTCAGAGTGACTCAGAATATACACTTTTAGTTTCTATCATAGCACAAAATGTCTGCCGATATAAATACTCTGACAAAATAGCTCATGTCGGACACCAATGTCCTGCTCTGACTAGCATGCTAGGTGTAAATTTTGGTTGCTAGGCAAGGGGAGATTGGCGAAACTAAGCAGACTCTGTTGTATATTATAGTTTGCTAGATTTCACCCTATCTTAACTAAGTGTGCTCTGTTGTAAATCCAGCCACTAGATTATTGATAGTGTCAGGGCCGGACTGGGAGAAAAATTCGGCCCGGGCATTTTTTTAACACAGCGGCCCACTAAAAAGGGGGCGGGGCAGAGGAGGTGTGTTTTGTCATCACCAATGACAAACATGCCTCCTCTCAAAGTGAGCATGTTGGTTCAATGCTCTTCCAGGGCAGACCATGCGCAGAGCTCTGATGAAGAGCTCTAGCATGAGAAAAAAGTCCTGTATTTGTTCTGCACAGTGCAAGCAAATTTAATAACATGCTTGCACTGTGTTTCCTTGCAACTTGTCTCTGGTGTCTCTATAAATGGATACCAGGAGACAAAAGGCCAGGAAAGAGTATTGTGCATGTGTTTGGAGCCTGCTTGTGGTATTGCGTGTGTGTAGAGTGAGCTGGTCGTGGTGTGGTATTGTGTAATAAGGTCGGTTTTAGTCGTGTTGTGTTTGTGGTGTAATGTGATGCATATGTGGCTCAGGGACCCCCTCCCGCCCGGCTCTGGAAAGGGGTTAAAACTTACCTTTTCCAGCGCCGGGCGGGGAGCTCTCCTCCTCCGATCCCCCAGTCGGCTGGCTGCGCGCGCGGCATTCAGCCGGTCGCATAGGAAAGCATTTATAATGCTTTCCTATGGACGCTTGCGTGCTCTCACTGTGATTTTCACAGTGAAAAGCACGCAAGCGCCTCTAGCGGCTGTCAATGAGACAGCTGCTAGAGGCTTTGGGGGAAGGCTTAACCCATTGATAAACATAGCAGTTTCTCTGAAACTGCTATGTTTATAAAACAATAGGTTAACCCTAGAAGGACCTGGCACCAAGACCACTTCATTAAGCTGAAGTGGTCTGGGTGGCTAGAGTGGTCCTTTAAGAGTGTAGTGTGTGTGTGTATATATATATATATATATATATTTGGAAGTATGTGTGTGGTGCAGTGTGTTGGGGGGGTTCTGTGTGTATGTGAGGGTGCGGTGTGTGTGTGTGAGGGGTGCCGTGTGAGTGATGGGTGTGAGAGTGCCGTGTGTGAGGGTGCCGTGTGTGAGGGTGCAGTGTGAGCGTGCTGTATGAGAGTGCTGTGTGAGAGAGTGCTCTGTGAGAGTGCTGTGAGAGAGTGCTGTGAGTGTGATGGGTGTGAGGGTGCTGTGAGAGAGTGCTGTGTGTGTGAGTGCTGTGAGAGTGCTGAGTGTGAGAGTGTTGTGTGAGAGAGTGCTGTGTGTGATGGGTGTGAGAGTGCTGTG